TTCTGTACAAAAGCCAAAAGAGACAAAAGTTTTGCACAATCACACCTCCAAGATGCAACACCTCATACAATACCCTGTAAAAATGGTAACTTGTGGCACACATCCGTTTCTTCCATTCCAAATAGTTATCCAGGTTCCTGCCTGCAGGCAGCACATACTGTCAGTAGAACAGTAGTTTCCCAATAAACCTGAGAGGTGGAAAATGTTTACGGCCACTATATGTCCCGCGGGTCACCAAAGGGCTACTATAAATAATGCTGCTATGAACACTCACGTACAAGTTTTTATGAGGACATATGTTCTAAATTCTCTTGGGTATATACCCAGGAGTAGAATTGCTGGGTTATATGGCTTCAACTTCAATTTCATCCTCGCCAACAACTGTTATTTTCTGGTATTTTTTTTTTTTTGGTAATAGCCATCCTAGTGGGTGTGACGTTGTATCTCATTGTGGTTTTGATTTGCAATTTCCTGATGACTAATGTCCTTTGCACTAAAGGTTTTAATTTTGATGAGGTCCAATTTATCAAATTTTTATTTTGTTGCTCGTGCTTTTGGTATCTAGTAATCCACTGCCAAATCTAAGGTCATGAAAAATTATCCCTATGCTTTCTTCTGAGAGTTTAATAGTTTTAGTTCTTAGACATTTAGGTCTTGACCTAGCCTTCACTTTGAAGGGAAAAACACCATCAATTTTCTTCACAAACTGTGCCTTTTACTCTGTAAGCTTTTTTCCAATCACTTTAAAGATATTTATCACTAAATGGTACATGCAGAAACTGCTGAATTGGTGAATGTTTTGCTGTGTATATTCTCAATAACAACATAATATATAAAATAAAAAAGGTAAAATTTACCTTAAATCCAACAATGGGTACATGATAGGGATCAGTCTAAATTTGATGAGTTCTAAAGTAACTAGAATTTCCTTTATATAACTTTACAGCTATCCAGTTTTACAACTATAGCCCCTCCAATACCCAAATAACACTGCAGAGCCATCTCTGCACAAGAATCTTGGCTCTCCCAGCCTCCCCTCTCAGCTACCAACAGAGTTCCACTACCATCCCTTTTAGAAGTGACTACTTGTCATCTGATATCCTGGCATATCACTGGAAACTAGTAAAGCCTTTATGGCCAAAGACGACATCAACTAAAAGATATCTTGAACCAAGAGTTAACACAGTGAGGAAAGAAGAACGATTGTGGAGCCCAAACTGAGAAGTCTCTAAAATTTAATATATCAGAATAAAATGAAAGATACAAAATAACTGAATTTCACATAGATAAAAACAAATTCTGTGTGTAGTTTTTAAACATATACGCTATATAACAAAATAAGCAGATGATTATTTCTTCTTACCTCTTGAACATTGAACCTTAGGATCTCCTTCATGTAAGTAGGCAATAATGTCAATAAAGTATAAAAAGTCCAGTTGTATGAAAAATGTGCAACTACAATAGCCCAAAGTGGCAGTGATTTTAGCATGGGTATCCATGGCACTGACTTCTGCGAAGAAAGCTGAAGAAAACAGGCTCAATTAGGATAAGCTACAGGTATGTTTATGCTTAAATCTATACTTTATCAGCCAAAATTTAATCTAGAACATACACAGAATATCAGCTTAGATTAGTAAATCCTGATTTTTAAATCAACTCATTTGAAATATTAAATAGCAAAATACATGAAATATACGATGTTTAATTGTTTGATCTTTTACATAAAAACTAACGATATTAACAAGAGAGTCCACGATTTCGAGGGAAAAATGGAAATGTATCTTACAGCTATAATGTCAACCCTAAATACTCCTTATTAATGTCAGAAATCACTTACAGCATTAATTTCTCCATCAATAAAATAGAAAAAAGTTTCATAATCAAGTTCAGAGGTTGACATAGGATAAAGGAAAGAGACTAGAAGGTCCTGGAAACAATATTCAATTAAAATGATTTTATAAAAGCTGTACAATACTCATTGCAGTTGAGTCAATTCTGACTCATAGCAACCCCATAGGACAGAGTAGAACTGCCCCATAGGGTTTCCAAGGCTGTAATCTTTATAGCAGCTGACTGCCACATCTTTCTCCTGTGGAGTGGCTGGTAGGTTTGAACAGCTAACATTTCGGTTAGCAGCCAAGCATTTAAGCACTGTGCCACAGGGCTCCTTGAATGCGGCTCAGGCCTCTGTAATTTTACAGTGTGTCAAATGTGATTCTGAAGTCTAGCCAGGATTGAGAACTACTGCTCTAGAAGAATAAAGGTTCCCTCTTCTTCCCTTCCTCCATGTCCCTTACATCTCTGATACATAGTGGGGAACACACGAGCATACCTACCAAGATTTAAAAAAAAAAAAAGTCAGTAGGACAAAGCTCACGAGGTTATACCCGTTCTTTCTCTTTTTAAAGTAACAGTGAACCCTAGTGGCAGAAACGTAGGTTACTCTTGCTTTTGAGAAACTACATAGCCTCAGTATATAGGAAATGTGATAATCTGATGCCCCAGACCAGTGGTCTCCAAACTTTTCTCATTGTACATCTCATCAGTAAAAAAGTAGCGCACACAATCTGAAACTATTCATAATTTATCTACATGTACTACTGTGCTTATGCCATGTACATTATAAAACATATATAAAACTATAAGAAATAAGCAGCATATACATAATTTTTAACTTTAATAGGAAAAACCTTTTCGTTATCATTTAAAAATCGGTAATAATAATGTTTAGTGGGAATGATGTGTTTGACTACACCATATTTGATGGGCCTATCATTATTTTGCTTGGTGAGGTGGTTACAGCAAACACAATCTCAATGGGTGGGGTAGCAATGTCTTTTCTCAATTTATTAAAATAAAAATCTACAAAACAGAGCAGTAGCTGATGATCTTAAAACACTCACTAATACAGGCAGAAGAAGCCCTGGTGGTGCAGTGGTTAAAGGTCTTGGCTGCTAACCGAAAGGTTGGCAGTTCGAATCCACCAGCTGCTCCCCTGGAGAACAACGTGGCAGTCTGCTTCCATAAAGACTACAGCCTCGGAAACCCTACGGGGCAGTTCTACTCTGTCCTATAGGGTTGCTGTGAGTTGGCATCCACTCAAATGGCAATGGGTTTGATTTTTGGCTAATATACGCAGCCTAGCCATGAGCTAGCCTCCTGAGTTTAATTGCAGAGTGCTCGCTATTTCTGAATCAGAATTAGAATTATGTATCCTCTCAGAAATGTAAATTTCACTTATTGTAAGAATGAAATACTATTTATGTCTACAAGTACACCTCTTCACTTATTGACTATCTTGTTATCTGACATTTTACATTTACAATAGTAAAAAATGTACTATCCAACTATTTTGTGCATTAATGACATACGTCTGGCCGTAATGAACACGGAGGTGCAAGGCGAGAGTAACACTGGCTATGATGGTCAAGGTTATGTGTCAGCTTGGATGGACCATGATTCTCAGGGGCTTAGCAGTTATGTAATGATGTAATCTGGCAGTTATGTAATGATGTAGTCATCCTCCATTTTGTGATCTGATGTGGAATCCTCCATTTTCGCATAACGCCGATTTCTGCATAA